CCAATTGGTCACCTGTTCACCACACCCCATCACTCCGCCGAAAAAAAAATAAAAAAAAAAAAAAAACGACAACAATTTCACTAAAAGTTGTAATTAAAGAAGAAATAGGACTGTAATAGGTCGCTGATAAGCCGGTTTGTTTGTTTTTGTTTTTTTATCTGTTTGGTAATTCATCAGTTGTGGACAAGGCAGCTCTACTAGTGCCAGTCTCTTCTGAGTGCTGAATTTTCAAGATGGCGTCGCTTTGTTATTTTCTAGTTTCATCCTATCGTTCAGCACTTTTTGCCCTTTGAAAATGTAACCTAGGCAGTATTTCGAGCTTTTTGATATGTCCTTCAGCTGCAGAACATACTTTACAGCGAAATATGAAAGAAAATTCACGAAGAGGACTTAAAACAAACACGAAGGGATCGGCCTGTTTGCAAGAAAAAGCTTGGAAACTACAACAAATGTGAGTTTTCTAATTTCTTCCTGTTTCAATGGCCCAAAATGATTATTAGTGTTTTGGTTACATGGATGATAGTAGACTGCAATTTGGCTGTTAGAGTTGTTCTGTCGTTTTAGTTGTGTGCTGTAGATCAATTCAAAAATGCCCGATTGTTTGCTTGTTTGCAGACACTGAGTTTAGGTCAGATAAAATAAGAAAATTTTAGTCTTGTCTGTGGATACTTAACAAATCTTATGGTTTTAGAAAGTAGTTCTGTGACGTGTTGCATCGCATACAAGAAATAAACTTCGCTCGTTAAATTTGGAGGGTTCTGTGAGTTTCAGAAAATGGTGAAAATTTGCTTTTAAAAATGGCGTCCGAGGGGGTCGAAAAAAGTGATGCTCGTATCTCTAATACAAGAGCAGTGAAGAACCTATGTTTCGTATATTTGTCCATTACTCCACCAGACCTATCTATGATGTTAGTATGAACTTATTCTGTTGACCCCCTTCCGTTGACATTTTTAACATTTTGCCCGGTTTTCTCTGACAACCACTCTTAAAACTCTTAACAGCCAAAGATAAGAAATACGAAAATTACTCGCTGAAATGATATGTGGCCGGCTTACCGAGTCCGCCGAGTAACAAGTTGAAATTTTGAGCGTACTCCACTCGATCGCTCCTGCATTTATACTAATAAAGACCAGAGAAAAAAGTCCTGGCAAACAAAAACCAAACATAACTTCATCGAAACCTCAGTCACCGCTTCTTTCCGGTCTTCCTTTTTTTCATCTCGACTTGAACTGTTTTGTTCAATGGCAGACGTCTCTTGCGTTAACAAGTAGGCCATATATCCGTCGCTTATTTCTTTTTTTCTTGCCACCAAGATTTGTTTATATTTCTGTTTTACAGAATTGCAGTGGGTTGGCTTTCGAACTCAGTTTCAATGGAAAGTTTGAGCCAACATGTTTGCCGCTTTTCTCCGGCAGCCATTGCCTACTTGTCGAGCCTCTGATGCTTCAGAAACCTACAAAATCACCCTGTTTCCTTGAAGATATACGCGTCCCTTTTGATTGCAAACAGCAAATCAATACTAAACATTAAAAGTAGGAGACATCCCACGTAATTGTATTTACTGAAAGAAGTCCGCACAAAGTTATTTTAGGTGGAATCCGTGCTAAACACTGCAAGTTCACCGAAAGTCTCCATTTGCAAATTTTGTTTATCCTAGAACGTCTCGCTTTCATGACTAGGCACCAGTTTTTTCCCGCGTGTTCGCCATTTGTGAATACGGTGTATGAGGTGTCTTTAATGACCCAGTCAAGCACTTGTTCGTCAAACCTCCCGAAGCGCCTTTCGGCAATAATGATATATTTTCAGGAATATTCAAGGTCAAAGGGCAAACGACAGTTCAATGTGGAGCTCAAGAAGTTTTATTTTGACTTCTATTGGACCCTACGGTAGCCTTCGTAGCAGGCCCTTACCAACGTGACAGTCAAATAATTTTACGGTTGACTAATGGTTAGCCCGGGGTTAGCTTCAGAGCGCGATACACATTTTAAATCCATGGCTCCAAGCTTTTCTTTAGCCACAAAGGACAAATGTTTCTCAATGGTAAAATTATCAGCTGAATTATTTACCTCAACGGGGACTGGAGAATTTGACACAACAATCAAATTTAACGTCTGAACGGGCGAGTAATACTTTGATTCGAATGTTGTTCCTAAGTCGCTTTAGACTGTTTAGACTCAAAGCTGGTTTGTTTCACACCTTCCTCTCCTTTCTCCCAGACCAGCGACTCGACGAATAGAGCAGCCAAACACACATAAATCTCTCGTCTTTTTCGCGATTCATTGCTAAAAACGCTCTGGATCGAGACCTTGAAGAATACTTGAGTTCCACAAGCAAATAAATACATCTCGAAAATTAAAACGGAATTACTCACACCACTCACTCACCCGCTTAATAATCTGCCTGCACTATAAAAATTTACAAGACATAATGTCATCGCATAGGGGTGAATACCCCAGATAATAAGAAAACCAATCGACTGCTCATGCTTCTGATCTTACATCCGACAAATATTGGCTTTTTCCAGATATTGTACAGAACAGTGTGCAGGCTCGCAAAGGCTCGCCAGCAAAAATAGGCCCGAATAATTATGCATTATAAAATACTATGGTAATTTTGAAAACTGGCCATTGCACGTGCAGTTTGTGGGAAGAACAAACGATAATTTGAAAGTCAGGTTTACATGAATCTCTACACAAACCGCAATTTTGAGAGTATTATGGTGTTTTTCGAAGTGGCCTCTATCTTGTTTATCGTAGTGTATTTTTGTAGTGGCCGAGAAAGCGGCTGCGACGCTATCATCACCTTCTTCCGTGAGACGGAAGGAAATTGTAAAGTACGGCAGTATAAGAGAGCACATACCAACCAAACTGTGTAACTTCGTTGGTCTAAAGACATATCACCGAGCCATAGACCCCTCTTATCTTGACAGCAAACTAAACTAAACTCAACTGCGGTGAAGAAGAATTTTTCTACCTAATAGTGGGACAATCTAATAAAACATGTCCCACGATTTGAGGAGAAGTATAAACAGCAAATTAGGTCAAAAAAAGTGAGCGAAACCTTTAAAATGATCCGAAAAAACAGCATAGGAGCTTACACAAATTTATAATTTTAATAGTTTATGTTACATGTACTTCTTATTAATAAGAAGTGACCAGTGACCAAATAAATGTAGAAAACTAGTAATAACCTAAGGTTACGGGAGAGTGCAGGCAACAACGATCAACGGGCAAAACACTTTTGCTCAAACCTTTAATATTTAATCTTTAATCACAGTTCGTAACCATACATAACTGATACAAATGTACTAATACTAACATATACAATCGAACAAAAATACAAAAATGGTTAACAGGACGGTAGTAGGGGGAAACCAAATTCCCATGCTAAGACATACCCTCCAAAAAAGAAAAAAAGGAAAAAAAATTAATTAATTAATATATAAACATATATATTAAAAGACTATAAATTAGACTATAAATTATAAACCTAGATGCCTAATATTAATGCATAAACTAATATTAAAGACACTATGCCTAGTATTTTAAGGTAAATTATGAACGAAGGTACTTAATCAGTGAAACTTTAAAAGACTGAAGGCTAGGAGATGACATTACTTCAGAAGGCAAAGAGTTCCAATCATTAATATATCTATGAAAAAATGAATATTTAAAATAATTTGTACAGGCAACTTTAGGTCTTATTTTAAACTCATGCTTACTTCTAGTTCGAGCGTGTGCTTTGCGTAAGTTTCACGTGATAGATTGTCAAAACGCGCATGATCCGATTGCGAGTGATCAAATTGCGTTCTGTGCATTCCATTCATTCTAAGTGGAAGTCCAAACGAATGCTGGCTCCATACTTGCGACGAATGCGTGAAAAATCCGAACCAGATTTTGCAGCGCCGTAGCAAACAAGTAAGCCGGATATTCCAAGTGCCGTGATCGCCACAGTAAAAGAACCGTATGAAGTCTTATTTATCAAATGTTCAGCCTCTGTGCTGATTTCTTCGCCCTTCTAGTTGCTTTTAAAAATTGGTCAGAGCAACAAAATTCAGTTCCAGGGCAAAACGCCCGAAATCTCCTTTCTTCAATCTGCAATAACTCTGCGAAGACTTGTTCAAATCTACAGAAATTATATCGATTTGTAGCTTTTCTTTTCCCTCTCTGATTCAAAACAACTATTTTGAGGGTAAATACGTTGGCTTAACACCACCATTAGTCGCCCGTACGCGAGTCAGTAACATGAGTCCAGAACCTCGGTCGAATACGGTGGTAAATACCAATTACCGTAATTCTTTATGTAAACTACACAGCGCTTCCCAGTGAAAATTTTCCCAATTTCTGCCCTGGGAAGATTTCACGAATTTCGCTCAAATTTGTTTTGTATAACATACGTGTCATCAATTTTCCGGGCAACGCCATTTGCGAACTCTTTTTGCTTCCTCGTTTCAAGGGCTTTTCCCTTTCCCCTGGAGACGAGGTTGTTTGTTGCGCTAAAAGTCGTTCCGAATAATACGTCTGTTTCCAACGCATCTCGCGTGTACATTTTTGTTGCGATAAAAATTTTCGCTGTAAATAGTCTCGTGAAACAGTTCCTTAAACTTACGTGTTGAGCTAAAAGTCTTCGTTGCGAATAGCCCGTATAACATCAACTTAAGAATGAATATGGTCTGCATAGAACGCAATCTCATCTTGCGCATTTATACCTTCTACATAAAGCAAAGCGTTGGAGCGAGAGCGTTTGTGACCTTTCTGAGTTTATATGTTTATTTGTCCTCAAATTGAACAAAATTATATACAAATGTACGGAAAAGAAGGGTAAACGTAAATTGAACTAGTACCTTGTCCTGATAGTCACATACACGTGAAAACAATTTATATTTAAAGAATTGTTAGACAAAGCAACTACAATGGGCAACAAAATTGTCGAGGCAGTATCCTCAAATGGGGTTGTTCTTACGAGAACAAAGCAATTTACGCCCCTGCCCCCCCCCCCCCACCTCCATTTAGAGTTGAGGTATTTTTGTTCCTTACACAATGTTAGAGGTAGCTCGTTTAACAGCGGCGGCACAACATTGTTGGAGGGTGTGGAGGAAACTTTGTTTGTACATTTTTGGTTTCTTCGTCTTTGTACTGTTTTGGGGCAAAGGGCATTGTTTTTCTCAAGGAAGAGAATCATCTGGTTGCTGAAATCCGTTTAAAATGAAAACGTACTTCGTATAATGCTCACAGCGGACTGTCGAATGGGTTTCATCTTCCAGCAATAAATCAGAGGATTGAGGCATGCATTCACGTAAATAAACAAGTCACTAATAAGAAGTAAAATCTGGGATGGAGGGTTTGCAGGTGATATTACCTTTACAGCCGTGATATATAGGCTTGGCAGATAGCAAACCATAAGAACAAGGTACACACCGAATGTCATAGTTGCAGCCTTTCTTTGCCTTCTCGCGTTAAGAGCTAACTCTTCTACATTCTCTTCTCCTCGAGGTCTATTTAGGGTAATAATTTGATTTGCCTGGCGTTTTACGGCTAAATATATCTTCAGGTAAAATACCCCTGTAACCAAAAAGCAAACAATCACAACAAATGTAATTATTAAGAAGGTTATCTTTGCTTCGCGCAGCACAGGGAACGAAATACATGCACTGAAGACCCACATTGATATCACTCCAACGGCCACGCGGTTATGAGTCACAAGCTCCTCGTACCTGAGATGAACATGAATTGCCAGGAATCTGTCAGCAGCTAGAGCTGCAACACCAAGAAACGAAGTAACACAAAGAGTGTTCATAATGACCAAGTAGGCTCTCGCCACGTTTGGTACCTGTATGTTCATGTGTAACGTTGCATGTATAGCAATATACAGTGGTTGCACCAGTAGACCGACACCAGCATCAGACACTGCAAGACTTAGAAGCAGCGTCTTGAAGTTTCTTGGTAACACAAAGGTTCTTCGGAGCGCTAATATTGTTACAATGTTCAACACCATGATTGCAACGAATAAGAAGCTAGAGCAGATGTATGCAGTGATGTGGACAGCCGACTTTTCATCCATATTTTATATTTAGGAGTTGTCGAAGTAGGATCAAGCTTCAGTCTCACTTGAATTTTTTTCTTCAGCTGGAACTTGGCCGGTGGCTTTGAGATAAGAAATACACTTCATTAAAGTTTCCTTTGCATGGTTTTGAACTTTCGTCCAAGCCAGATGATTACAGCGAGGCTAAAATAAGTTTCGTAAAGTCGTGGTTTACATAGTTCTTTTCTGATCAACTGGAATGGAGTGAATAAATGAACTGTTGAAAAACCAAAAAAGTTTTAAGTTTGCATAAGGGAACATAACGAAAACGTGCAACTTGTTCGTGCAACATTACTGCAAAGCGAGTTGAAAAAGGATGTTGCGCGTTTTACCACCCTCATTCAAGCCTCTTAAAAGGGCTGTGTCACGGCAGTCCAGTTCGTTTTGTTTAATTTTGCCAATTACTCGCCCTCAATCGTTATGGAACTTAAAGTAAGAAAAGAAATTACATGTAAATGACAAAATCAGAGATCAGAGACAAACGAATATTTCTCCTGAGCATTATTTTTGAAGTTGCAAGCAGCAGGGATCAACTTTGAAAAACTGTTAGGCTGAACAGTTTTCAAAAACCCTAATTCAATCCGTTTCAATCTTCTTCAGTTTTCCCCATCCGTGGCATCTGTTGTTTCTGTTATGTTATTTTTACCTTCCTTTAAAGGTTTAAGCAGTTATTTTTATGTTTCTCTTAATTCTCTTAATTAATTTGTCTAAATTTCGTGACACAGCTCATTTAATTAAAGGGTACCTACTTTGTTGCAAGGCAGGTTTGATGTGGGTGGCAAAACGCGCAACATTGCTATTCAACTCATTTTGCAGCAATGTTGCAAGGCACGTTGCGTGTTTGTTGCCCGTTTTAAGTCAGCGCCATAAGCTCTTGAAACTGCCACGGGCTAATTTACATTTTTTTTTCCCGATGCATGTCTGGTATGCGACAAAGAATAACCTGACTGAGTTCATAGAAAAAATGAACGCATCAAGGGAGGTTTTAACAAGGACTTGTAGCCTAACCAATCACGGAGCAGCGGAAAATGTGTCAAAAGACAGCTAAAATGAAAACCATTATGAAAGAATTTAGTTACACTCACGAAACTTAAAGCCTCACGACAGTTGACCACAAAAAGCAACGAAAAATCTGTGCCACAGATCATAAACCCTGGGTCGTAAAAACATCCCAAACAGTTGGCGAATTCTTTATTGCCCTATCTTCCATGACTTAACCTATATGCAGAGTCTGTCTCAGCGCCAACAGGCAGTGCCTGCGGCATTGTATTATATTATATGCGCGCGCCGGTTTTCCCTCGCGTGTGTAATTATCGCATCCGTCTTGTTGTACGAGCGATTACGTTTACATTAAAGTTGTTAGTGTTCTTCGTTGTGACGCTCCTGTCTCTTCAACATTGGCGCAGGTGCTATTTTGATTCAAAAGAGGAAAGACTCAAACTGAGGCCTAGAGGTGAGGAGTTGGAAGACCCGGACCGAGCAAAAACGATCGCCCATCGATTTCCGACATTAAAAAAGTGGAAGTTCACTAATCATATCCTGAACTCGGACATGTGATTTCGAGTTTTTGATAGTCAGCAAAATCTTGGCCAGACAGTGGGGGAGATTCAGTTAAATCTTCGATCGTCTGTGATTTTCTCGACAAATAAAAACCTGGCTAAAGTAGCTTAACCAGTTAGTGCCTTTTTTGCTAAAGGTAAGTACGTTCAAGCATAGGTAACCCAAGCTCGAAATTTCAGCCCTAGCACTGTTGTGTAAACTTCAAAGTATGATGATTTGTATAAGAAAAACAGTTCTTGCCAATAGCTGAAGGTATGAAAGAAAACTTATTTCTTAAATAGCTTACCTCACTTTCCTTGTATGTTGCTTGTTTCTCTGTAATATCTATGTGAGAAAAGGTTACGTAACATACACAATGCCAATGATCGAGTTTCGAGCTGTGGGTGCCTGTAGTTCAAGTTTGCTCAAGGCAAACGGTGACATCTTAAATCTATAATGATCAAACGCCTTTAAAAGTAGAACTAGAACGGAAGTTTGTTTCAAACGACGTTCCCTCACTTTTACAAATAACACCTGCTTTATTCAAATGTCCCACTTAGAAGAACACAAATTGCCTGACTTACTTAAGAGCTGAATTTTATAGATAAAAAAAGTTCGCCCAGCACGAAACAATAGTTTCATGAATTAATTTGTCTTAAGGGCATATGTCCGGCTTTCAGGTCTCTTGTGGTCTTTTAAAGCCTTACAACGCGCCACGTCAAAAGATAACCTCGTATGCGCCAACTATTTATTGATCTACACGGTTTGCAGATCACGCGCTAACTTTATGCGAGCGGTTTTAAAGTCCATCATTTTATACTAATAACATTAAATCGTTCGATTTTCAGACCGAACTGAAAGTTTCGGTAAAGTTGCCCATATCGCGTGAGCAAATTGGTAAGTGCTATAAAAGCCTAGGCTGACATGTCAATTTTTGAAGAATTGTTACTCCATCACGTAGTACTTCAATCAATAAAATATTCTCCCAAGACAACCAGAGAGGGATTATTCTATAAAAGCACGAACTTAGAAAAAAATTGAACTTTTGAATCCAGGAAGGAGCTATCTTTGCCCAATATTTAAAGACGCTATTTGAATACTGAAACAAAACATTCATCAAGCTATTACTTCTTGTAGTGTTTACAAAGGGCATGGCCTTTCTACGAGCTGAGGCCAGCTTGAAAATAACAAGTGAGCAGAATATATAATTAGGTAATCCTGTTTGCGATCAAGAAAGCTATCTTGAAATATCACTAAGGAGAGTGTTCCCATCAAAGCTAACCTAGCTGAAACGACCCAATTTTCTTAGTCCGTTCGAAACACTTTCAACTTAATTTTAAATGTTTGGATTTTCTCTGGTTAAGCCAGAATAATATTGTTTGTCCTTCGATCGCGAACAATCCAGTTAGTACATCATTTAAAACATACCTTCAGATTGCTTTGTTTTTCTTAATCCGGAGATATAGCAAAATGGCGCAAAAGGTGATACTGGGGTCCAGGTTTAAGCTATGATTATGGCTGCTTAAAATGCTTCCCTTTCGCCGCTTAAAAACTATATATTCAATGAGATGCTTTGGCTAATTTATGGCCGCCACAACAATTTAAGAGCTTCCATTTTTATTGAACAGTTGAGCTGTAAATAATTTAATTGCTGCCTCAAATTTCGCTTAAAGCATTTTTTAGTTTTTTATATTAAATGCATAAAAGGACAACTGAAGAGGCTTGGTCGATCGACTGTCAGAGCCGAGAAGATATTTAATGAAACGAAAAGTGCATTACGTTTTCTAGATGTTTTTCAGAAGATACAAAATTTTTAGCGTATTTTTAGCACGCACCACATTGTAACTCAGTAAGCAGTCAGTTGGAACATTAACTGAAAAATTTTGATATTTTTTCCTCTGCAAACCAGAGGAAAAGACATTTACGAAAAATTGAGAAGTTTGATTTAAGACCTATTAATTCAAGATCACTGAGCATTAAGGAAGCATATCAACAGCTGCAAACCGTAGAAATAGGCAGTTAAAAAGGAAATATACGTCTATGTGTGAAGTCCTACCGTTTTTGTTTTTCCTTGCTGATTGTAATAGTGGCAATACAAAAATATTGAACTTTAAATGGCATTATCAGGGCTGTCATTTAGAAGCGGGGACCGAGGATTTCCCCCTGCTTCTATGAAAGTGGCCCCCGGCTACTTTCAAAGAAAAATATAAATAGAACCAAAAGAAACCCCTAGCTACTTCGGATTCCCCGCCTACTTGTTGTATTTACCAGGCAACTTAAAATCTTAGTGACAACCCTGCGTTATATACATGAAAATGCACTGTAATTTTTGCGCTTTGGGGGGAGCTCCAGAACAACCCCCTCCCTCCCCTCTGAAACA